AAGTAGGTGCCCACTCCCCAGGATAAGGATAAGGCTTCGGTTTCTTTAAGCTGACAAACACTTGTTGACAATGACAGGCTTGTAGTTTCCTGGCCTACTCGGCACAGGAATAACAGGGAAGTGAACAGGCTTTCATCGTCTATTACTGCGGCGGACATTGCAGCAACATTATCATTGTTTGCTCAGGAATGCACAACAAAGTCCTCCAAAAATGATAAGATAAGCTTGAATGGAAATAAATGTGAAACAGCTGCCAAACCGAACTTGGAGTTGGGGTCAGAACTAATTCAGATGAGTCATGTTAGGATTGTGATTAGTTAGAAAAGGGACATCTTATTCTGTTGGTGATTTCCTTTCTCTGAACATGAATTGGTGATCACTTTGAATCTAATTCTCTATTTTTCTGTACTCAGGTCAGTCTGGAGATGGCCGCACACACCTCAACGACAAGTTTGGCTACTGAGGGGAAACAGAAGAGAGAAAGCTCTTGTGTGTCCGCTCCGGCAGCTTTTATTCTGCGTACAATACCTGCAACACAAAGCCTGCAGTCTCCTCAGCGCCGACCATTACCCCCTCTCTGCCAGTCCCTGCGAGGCGTTCAGGGGCCTGCAGGAGGGAAATAATGCAGCACCTTTCTCTATCTTTGCATGCTCATAAGCAAAAAATACATTCTATTTCGCATTATCTGGCAAGCCCTGTGAGCAGACACTGGGCAGGCAGCCCGCTGGCAGCCTCCTTACCACCCATGAAAACAATAGAGATGAAAGCCTTTTTTTCTTTTACTTTTAATTCTTTATCATCCAAGCAGAAAATAAAACAAATCAACAGAGCATGAACGGTAACTGATCTGAATTCAGCTCTCTGGCTCTTGCAGTTTGAATCCACCTGACATCCAAACGGCATATTTGGCATCATTTAAAAAGAAAAAAAAAATGTTTTATTCTAAAGGAGAAAGAGAGGGAGAGCACTGAAGCAGCTTTTCTGACCATCTGGACACTTGGATGGCTTACTGCTTGAAATGCAAGCTGACAATGACTCAAGCTAAGTGGAGTGTTTGCCTGCGTGTACACACAACCTTCTCAAAGTTCTCTTTTTAACAAGATTGTCTTTAACGGTGACTCAGCGATTGGTGTGTTTGCCCAGAGCAGGATTCCTCTCTCTGTGAAATCCCACTCAGTGCTGTTGGTATACCGCCATACTCCACACCCTCAAAGTAAATAATTGTATTTTTGTTATATAAATGTTAAATAAATTGTCTGTACATTACCTGTTTTACACGCTTCACATTCATCCTCTTATTCCTTCCCCCTACATTCTGGGTCTTTCTTCATCAGAAGCTGCCTCACACACACACACACACACACACACACACACACACACACACACACACACACACACACACACACACACACACACACACACACACTGTTTCTCAGCGAATAATCTGGCACTGAGAGGCTCGTGGTGTTGGCTGTTGATCTCTGCCGTGAAGTTCCGTGCTGTGACTAATCACTGACGGAAAGCACTCCTCCCTGCCCAAAACACCAGAGGAGTCCGCTGTCGTTCACCTGGCACCTTATGGACGATGTTCCAATGATAAAACATAAGCCTATCAGAATAAAGCGATAGTATGAGGTAGTTATGGATATGGGCAGCAGGAAATCCAAAGTCACCTTAATTTAAAAAAAAAAAGGCCCAAGTTAAAATAAATGTCTGTATCAGGTAGAGTTGCTATATTTAAAATATATAGCAACTCTACCTTTCTGTGCTCGACAATATTTCCTGATGTAGAATGAAAGTATGCTCTTGCTAATGTTGATGGAGGATCTTGTAAATAAAATGTATGAAATGGTTAACCATGAAAATTAGAAATCAACTTAATATCTTTGATGAATTATGGGAAAGAAGGATGGGTTAAATACCATACAAGATAATTAATGACCCTTTGATTAGCTGTTGATTAATTAATCAGTAATGCCATTTTCTTTTAATATCCATGATCTTGCTAAAGTTACCAGACTCCAGTGAAATGTTTGAACTGGCAGATCACTGGGGTCGCTGATCCACCGGTACCCTGAAGGTTTAGTACGTTTGTCTTACTTTGTGACTTTAAACTACCAACACAATAACACAAACTAACAGATGGAGGCAGCCGTAGACCAGCAACTCCTGAATGATTTGAATAGAACATGGATAACAGCGTCAGTTCCAACATTCAAACTATCCCTTTAGGTGAAGTGGTTGTATACAGATATATATATAGATATATATATATATCTATATAAATACAAATATAAACTGCTCCAAATCCAATGAACAAGAGGCCACAGGGCATTTATTGATTCATTTTGTGCAACGATGGACGTCACAATGTTACATTCACTTACTTCGGCGAAATCTTAGTTACAGTGGTGACATCGTGTTTAATCGAGAACTACCTCAAGTTTCATTCAATACAACAGGAATGTGATTTCAAGGCATTAAGAGATCTTAAGAAAACACTTGGGTGTCTTCAGAACACCAGCGGACCTCTTCTATCTAGAAAATAATGAGGTACAATATTGGAAAGAAATAAAGATGGCGCACTACAAGTAGGCCAAATACACTTGCCAAATGTGCAGCAAACTATTCTCATACTTCCTTATTTCCACATACCTCTTTCTGCACAAACAGTGGAACCCATGCAAGGAAAGAGGATACAAGTATTCGTAACCTGGACTAGAAAGTGACAAATTCAAGAAGCTTACGTTGTGACAGGCGGACTATTTAACTACATACATGTCATACATGTTTGTTATAGCTCCTGCATACTCAATAAACACATCCAGAGTATTTTTCAGACGGACGATATGTGACCACTGGCTATGTTTACCTCCACAATAACAAGATATCCGATGACTTGTTTGACTTTGATGACATGTTTACTATATAAAGTTACCCAGAACCTTACAACATGTCCAGTAATCACATCAAAGGAAGAAACCTTGGAACCACTTGATTGTCTAACATGCATTTTTCCCTTGAATATTGTTCCAGAGCTAAATTCATTTTTCAAAATGGTTGGTCCCTTTGTACCACCTCTGGTCGTCAAGTCCATGTTAGCGTCATTTAGCAGGGCCTTTTTCAGAGACGTATGCATAACCTGAAGAATCCTTAGAATAGTTTGTGGCCATTTTATTCCCCAAATGTTGTTTTTTTAGTGGAGAGAAATGATCAAAGTGACAGGGTGGGATTACCTGAGTGTGCAAATAGTTTGACCGTGGAACAAACGTCTTTTCTAGCACGGTCCCTTTTAGAACAATCACTTCTTGGTCCCAAAGCAGAAAGCTGTAACAAAAGAAAGCAGCCGCCTGGGAATGAAGAGTGGTGCGGAGGATTATCTGGTGGTCATTTGTTGTTTTACGAGAAGGGGGGATCCTCGGACGGGGTCAGGGGACTGCAGGGGGGCACTGTACTCAAGGAGCGGAAGGCGAAGATGGAGGGGTCGTAGGTGTACCTGGGGGGGGGGCGACTCCCCGTCAGGTTCTGTGGACAGAGAGACAAAAGGGCATGATGAGAGACAGAAGTTGTGTAAGAGCCACCTAAGTGCTTCATTTTGTGTTGAGGAGAGATGTTTACGTTGGCATGACAGATTAGGCTAGGGTTAATATATACAACAGGATATTGCAAAACAGTTCAACTCCGTTATGCCACTGAGGGGATGGAAGTCTGCAAGTTCAGATCATTTTCTGCCTATTTAACGTGTAGTCGTATTATTAAATACAGTGTCATAGCAAATGGCTTTGGTATTGGACCGGTCAAGATGCTTGACCGGTCCAATACCGACGAGTTCCCAGGAAATAATCTGCCGTGATGCTGCTACTTTCAATACACTTTTTTTTCTGATTTACCTGCCTCCCATGAGTATGTTGTATCTTCGCGAAAGGTTTCAATTATTTATTTAAAAGACTCAGAACTAAGATTTCCTTTCAGACTACATGCCCTAGAAACTGTCAATTGGATAATCGGCTACTTGAAAGGGGTTGGAAGATAGTATGGATGAATGGCTTCTTACCAGCCTTTACTCATAGTATTATTTGGACAGTTACAGTTTGAGACAGTTTTGTTAGAATTGGCAAAATAAAATGGACAGTATTGCTAATAATAGCTAGTAGCGACCTCTGTGGTCAATGCAACATAAAAGACTATAAAGATACGCAGATATGGGAAATTTGTTAGGAAGACGCAGACAAGACACAGTTCTCAACAAGTCCATTTTGTAAATGTTTTTATCAAACAGAAACATAAAGACGATCTCAGTTTTCATTTGACTAGTTTTGCCTCTTTTGCTTTGACCCTTGAAATGCCTCTTTTCTGTGTTGAAAGAGTTCTGAAACAGCTGTATTTGTATTTGTATTAACCACACCATTGAGCCAGTCTCACAACCCAGAAACAATCCAAATGTGAGTAAAACTAAGAACTTGAAATATGACGTGTTGGAAATGTCTGTTTCAGAAGGCTTCTAAAGTGGCTTATAGAAACCTAGAGAAAGAAGTTACAGTATCAAGTCACTGTGAGAAAGTGACTGAAAACCAAACTAGCAGTGATGGGAAACAACTGCACTCCTAAGAACATTTCACACTGATACCTTTCGCTCAAACTGCAGGTTTGGTGACATAAACCCTTCACAGAGCAACGCCCCCTCTGAGCAGAACCTCGCTTCTTGTGTTTCTACAAGTCCTCCGTCTAAAATTAGCCTGGGTCATTTTCCTCCCTGCAGGAAACAGCAGGAAATGACTTTGTTGGATTTGGCAGTGAGGCAGCACTTTCTTCAGAGTCTGGGGAGAGTGTGTGAGAAGGTGGACTGAGAAAGATTAGGACCTTGAGACAGATCCGCTGTCATTAGAAGTTGAGTGTGTGTTTAAAAGGACACCTATATATTCTCATTGTAGAACTGAGACAGATGCACTATGTAGCTGACTGACTCTATTCAGTGCTACTGGAAAGTACTCAGTGACATCAATGCATATGAAATAAGCCTCCATTAACTGCGCATGTGAGCCTAACAGGTGTTGCTATGACTTCAGCCAACATCTTAAGGGATTCAGTGCCGACAACTGAGTCACAGTTACACGGCAACAATTCCCAAAACCACTTAGAGATGTTTTATCTACTGATGTTTGTATAAAACAGGCGAAAAGTGAGACGTGGACAAACAAAGCATATCCCAAGAACAAGTTACAGTAAACTCAGATGTGGACGTGTTAATGTGTTGGCCACATGGTAGCTGTGAGTCAGTCCAACTTTGAGGGGGTGTGTTGTACTTCAGGATGAGTTGTCTTGTGGTCACATCTGCAGTTTGCTGGACATTTAGGGCCAAGATGGGTCAAAAAAAGTGCAGGTCCCAAAGGTGCTTGTAGTCCCAAAAGCGCAAGGAGGGCCTTTTTCGACAGGCATTCAAAGCTCAGTTAAAAAAACAGTAATATTTCACTTGTCCTGGAGAGGAACTGCCTGTAAAAATGCATTTCGAGGGATTTTATGTTTTAAGTTATCCTTGACCTATGATGTATGCTTCAGTTTGCATATCTGAAAAGTCTCAGCACTGTGTTTCCAGCCCTGTTAAAGGAATAGTCGAGTTTATTAAAAGGATGGATTACTCTGTGGCCCAGGGGTTCAGGGGGGGGGCTAAACCTGAGCCTCTGTGTGAGGTGATTGCTATGTTGGAAAGTCAAAGGACTTCAAATTTCCTGACTATTGTGTTTGTTGCTTCTGGTCTAATTATCTATCAGGCTTTTATACTTCATATGTACCCTAAGGTATTTTGTATAGTTGTGGTGTGGATGTGCTGTGGCAGGGAACCTGTGACACCGGGAACAAAACATATTTAATTCTTTCTAGCAGGCAAGTCTTTGGCTAAGCTAACCAATGGCTGGCCGTAGCCTCATATTAAGCATGCGGGTATGAAAGTAATAGTGCATTGTGTCTGTACTTATTCAACATTTCCAAGTTCTCAGTAGTACATTTTCTCTGAAGTTAGATTTCCAGTTCCAAGATTTGAGAGAACCTCACCATATCTGACCTTAAAATCTGAGACTGTTGATTACCGTATTGACTAAGTGATAGCTGTACTAATATAGAGTTATTTTAGCACCAGTCTTATGTATGTCTTATATATACAATCAAAGTTCAGTTGTACACACAGTGCTGTCCTACTTCTATCCAGGGATATGTTGCTGCAGCTATATAAGCACCAGTTGTGTAGTTATCAACTGATGCAACTTAGAACTTGGTTTTTCGACTTGATGTACTGGAACACGCTCCGATTTACGACTTCCCAGCACTAAGGAAAAGCTCAATTATAATAATCTCATCCAACTCTCTGCACAAAAGCGATAAAGCGCAATTGACAAATGTTAGGCTACTCCTTAAACTGTTTTTTAATCTGTTTGTCCTAATGCTAAGACCAATAATGCCTTTGCATCCCATCTAAGCCATGCAGTTTACTTCAACAAAATGGTATGCAGAACATTTTTCCTTCAATTTAGTTTCCCCCTCCACTCTCTGCACCATTTCCCTCCCCTCAATCAATCTTCGCCCTCCTCTCCTCCCTTTTCTTAACGGTGGCTGTAATCAGACTCCATCACTCTTGCCTGCTGCAGCCTGGGAAGCTCTCATCACCCTATTCTCCTATTCACCTCCAACCCCTAGAGGGGGGAGGGCCTCCGCAGCAGCAGGGGCAGGCCAAAGCTGTGTTTTCCTACTGCTTCCATACAAACCCCCCACCTCTTTAAACATAACCACGACCATCGACCTCTACTCCCGTAACAACTCCCATGCTTGAATCCGGTCTCGAAGCCGGGGCCCCATCCAGATCCAGCGTCTCTCTTTTGGATTCAGGCCAGGAAACCCAGGGTTGACAGCTAAAGAGGGAGAGGGAGATACACCGAATGGTACGGGAGAGAAAAGACAGAGGCGGGAGGTGGTTCACTTTGCCCCGTGGCATAAAGGGTAGAAAGTTAAAACAAGCTTCCAAATAGCCCAGGAATCCAAGGTACTCACTTTAAGGAAAATCTATAAAGTGCACAGACCCGACCAACAGGGAAAACACTGAGACAGAGGATAATGAGCAATATCTCCATGTATCAGCGGAGTTAAACAGATAGCAGCCATCCAGGCTATAAATGGAAAATGACTTCATCTCTGGAAATACACCACAAGGGACCCGACAAACACTCCGCCTCCTCTTCCTCCTCAGCTCCATCTCTCAACGAAGCCCTCTTGTTCCTCCTCAAACACTCGCAAAAATCACTTTTTTACATTTTTGTACCGCTCATCCATACTTCAACATGGAGGATAACAGCGCCCTACATGCTGTTACAGTTGGTGTTAGTGCGAGTGTGTGTGTGTGTGTGTGTGTGTGTGTGTGTGTGTGTGTGTGTGTGTGTGTGTGTGTGTGTGTGTGTGTGTGTGTGTGTGTGTAATAAGTGAGTGCGATAAGGTTCCGTTGACACTAACCCACGCAACGTGATAATAACGTCACTTTTCTCACCACACTGTGCATCCTTCTGGAGTACCCTGCGCTGTGCCAAGACGCCCAGGCTTGTTCCAGTCGGCTCTCCAGCATGCTCCCCTTACCCACCACATAACTGAATCACACTGTTGCAGTTGGTGGATGATTATTGGAGGTTGTGTTTTGGAAAACCGCTTTACAGGAAGATCAGTAGGGACACAATCTTGGGAAAATACCTTTGTGTTTACGAAGGTATTTAGGCGAGTTAATGTGCACTTCTTAGACCACTAATGGGACAAGTGGAAAGCTCCGTTATTAAAGGCTGTTGAGATGAAGAGATCAAACAAACTTTAACAAGAAAAGAGCGCATTTTTCTCCTGGTAACTTTGTTGTAGGTATCACTGTAGTTAGCGGTGTTAGTAAATGGAATGCGATCAGATTTTCAGACGTTGCTCTCAGGCAAGGCTCGGTTGCTAGCAGGGCATGGGAACAAACGCGGCTGCCAGATGCTGTCCCAGTATGCAGTTGGATGGACATCAAGGTGCTGGCGACAAAACAGGCCGGGCTGTTAACGGGGGCTGTGCCACCTTATCACTGCTGCAATGAACACCCTGATCAGAAGTGCCCAAAATGGGTCTCCATTAAAGGGAAAGCAGGTGCTCTGTGTTCATTTTCGTACTTCTATACTAACATTTGCTGATTTGAGTATATCAGTGCGTCCCCATGAGAAGTATGGCAAAATGCAGTGCACTAAGAGCACCTGATGGTTCAATCAATAGGGTCAAAAGTTGAATGTGGACCTCTGAACACTTTTCACTCTCAACAACCACCATCTTGGCTACTAACGGAACTTTCAAGACCATCCGTGATCACAGTTTCTCCAGTGAAAACAACACTAAACAAATAATAGTTACTCATGTCAAAGGAAGCTAAAGTTCATTTTATTGGGTTAATTGACCATGTAATGATTTGCTACAATAAAAACGAAACAAATAGCAAACAATTACGTAGCTAGCTAACTATCTAGCTAGCTAAGAGCGGCAATGGTCTCTTTTGCTGAGGGCACAGCAGCCGAGTGCAATTTGAGAAAACACAACCCGGTCAAAACTCAGCAAGTTCCCAGTGTCCGACATGTGTACAAAGGGGAGTACCCAAAATTGAGACACAATGTGTGTGTACTTTCAGATAAATACCACTGGTATAAACCATTTTCAACAGGGGTTTTTTCAACATACAATAAATTGTTAGCATTGTTTGCAACACAATACTACAAGAGGCTTTTGTTTTTGGTGAATTAAAAAATAAAACGTACCCGCATCTTTATGGTCCGGGTTTTCCCTCCGCAATTCTTTTTCAGCAGCATTTTCTGTGGAGAACAAGAATGCACAATGAGAGACTAGAAGATCATACAGTAAAACCTTTACACTGTCTATAAATACACTTGTGCTATGAACCCAAAAAGGAACTTTTTATGCTAGTTGTTTATGCATGTGAATGTTGAATCGGATCAAGCGTATTACTAAAAGTCAACCAGTTATTGATGACATTATAAACAGCAAAATTGGACGTGACAAGAAGTGCATATCTTGGCAGTCGATGAACACGTGAAGCAAATCCAGCTGTCTCACTAAACTAAACAGTCAGTCAATGAAGCTTATGCAATATCCTGTCTCCCACTCCCCTCCATGTCCACAGTGGGGGTGGATGGACCACACAATAATCAAATTGTCTCCAGTTGGGGAGGTAGCTTCTAAGGGGGGAGGGAGCTCAGGAAAGAATGGAAACATAAGACTCCTGCTGTTGTGATGTGGGAGAGAGCTGGTGTGCACTTGCCCTCATGCTCACCTCCCGCTAGCTCTTATCTTTTTTTTGTTTTGTCAATGGGAGTACAGTCCATGTGGGTGCAAGCTGCTCTGACATGAATTAAAAGCGGAAATTCACTTCAGCCTCCCAGAAAAAGTTATAGTTTTTTATTTTACGTGATTAACTGACTCTTTTGTTCAATCACAAAGATATGATCTCTTTCAAAAGTACCATATATTTGTATTTATAGGTTTTAGCTCATTTACTACAAACTTTCAATGTGCGCCCACACACACACACACACACACACACACACACACACACACACACACACACACACACACACACACACACACACACACACACACACACACACACACACACACACTAGCATACCGTTTGGGTGTGTGTTGTAGTTATTTAAGAAAAAGACAACAAGTAGATTATCTTCATCATTGTTATGGGGGGGATTTAAATATTTTTGCCTGTGTGTGGCGGTTGGACATGTATCTTCTATTCCAATATTTTATCGTGTAGAACACCTGTTATACAAATGAAGTTGCTTTGGTTTGCCTTATATGTGCTAATCTCTAGTGAGAGCTCCAATATTAACCACTGCTTTTATATCAATATCTACAGTTGTCTTATATCTTCAAGTCTTATTAAATCAGTTCTCTTTGCATCTACACTTCAAAATGCATTCTTGCACAATTCTAATATTGTTTTAAAAACCTAAAATGCCAAAAATAAAACTATTCAGCCAGTTCCTTTTCATACGAAATGAACAGACACTAATTAGTTTAAAAAACAATGTTATAATTGAGAAATAGCTGTAAGATAGGGAAATCAGCACATTGGCTAAATCATTTCAAGAAACATACTACTATGGTCCGACACTAGTGTGTGTAGTTGAATTATATTTTCTAGAACTGCGCCATTTTAGTGCAGATGTCACATACGACATATTTCTCAAAAGCATCTGCTACACAAACTGTTGTTCTTTCATCAGGCAAACAATGGCACAAACAATGGAAAACATTGGCACTGCCACATCTAAGCACAACATCTGAGCAAATGTGCATCGATTAACATGCATGAGGGATTATCAGAAAAGGAAACCAGCGGCTGACCCTTCAACTCTGCCCTTGATGAAATAATGAGATAAATAAGTGTGTAACTACTGCGTAAGCTAATGGGGGTCATACCGGAGCTACGTAGCCTTGTTTACCAACCACTAGCCTTAGACAGTCCTGGATCAGTTGATTAAAGAAACCACAATTTGACTTTGAGATTGTTTCTCCATCCTACCAACAATATTTGTAACATTTCCTGAGAAGATTAAACTCCTTGTTAGTTAGAAAATGGAGACAAAGGGGTAACAATTACAGCTCCCACCAAATGTGCCATCAATCTTAAATTAATGTATAAGAAAGAAAATCCTGTCGCAGACTGAATCCCACCTGGTTCGAGTGCACCTTGGCCAATAAAATAAGAATAATAGAGGGGTTAGGCTTATTAGAAGCTATTGCAGTAACACTTACAATGGATTGGCTTATTGATACTAATGTACTTACAGTATTCTAGCTTTCTTGACTTTGTGGTCTAAAATAAGTTTAGTTTAATTGGGCCCCATTATGCTCATGTTCAGGTTCATATTTGTATTTCTTCCCTCTACTGTGACATGTCTCCATGCTTTTATGTTCAAAAAGCTCTTTATTTTCTCATACTGCCTGTGCTCCTCTTTTCACCCTCTGTCTGAAACCAGCTGGCTGGCTCTGTTGTGATTGGTCAACCGCTTATTTATGTTCTGTCCCTTAGCCAATCACGTACAATGTGTTGAAGCGCCAGCCAATAGAAGCGCAATGTTACATAGGGATGTCACTATGTTCAGGAAGTAAACAGAGGAGTCCAATGGAAGTAGTTCAGGCAGGGGGGGGGGGTGTGTGGGAGAGAAACTCCCTCTGGAGGGAACTTTGGGATTTTAGCTTTTGCAAACCATTCACATGCACACAAACCTATAACACACTACAGGAAAGGGAAGCTCCAAAAAGCATAATAGGGCCTAATATGGC